ATTTATATTTTGAAAGGTAAAAAACATTCAAGATTCAAAAACATTCAAAATTATTATATATCGTCAATTCAAATCAATTGTTACAGCTCTATCACTATCATCATCGCTACTAGCAAAAATATGTATTTTCTTTGGCTTTTTAACTGACACAACTGGAGTTTTGTTGTCCATGAAAAGCTTTTTTGATTGATGCTAATTAAGCCGAACTTAAGCTAAGGCAAAATAAAAAATCAATCAGAGAAAAAAGATTAGCGAATTTATCTGGTTTGATATTAGTCGCTATTTGTGACCAAGATAGCGGTGGAAATGATTTTGAACTTGCACTTGTCCAAGTTGCTATTATTTTCTTCAATATTATCCACTCTGATAAAATATTTCCAACATCTACTTGTTTAAGTTTTGAAATTATGAATACTATTAAAATCTAAAATATGCAAAGTATTAAATAAAATGATCAAATTTAGCACTAATATTATTAGTTACCAAATTAAAAATAATTGAAAACTATTTTTTCTTATTTTTAAATATTATGTATTTTTTTCTTCAAAATCAGTGAAATTTTAAAATACTACCCAGTGGACACGAGATGTGTTTATGACATCTAAATTATGTTTTAAAATATATTATAACGCATTTTTAAAACATTTTATAAAGTATTTTACCTACTGGGTATAACTTTGGTAATTTATGGATTATGCAACAATGCACCACTTAACGATAAAAACGACTATTAGCAGATACGTGAAATGTTGGTTGTAAAAAATTGCAAATAATAGCAAACGTGAAACATTGTTAAAAAGTATGAGAACCAATTACACAAAAAATTGCACTGCAGTGAGATTAGTCAGCATATAAAAATTTTAAAACCGTGCATATTATTAAAATTTTAAATTAACTCTGAAAATAATTTTTCTAAATTTTAGCCTTAATGCTAAAATTAACATTTAAGCTAAAATACTAATAAATAGTCCTCTAAATAACTTTGTTTGCTAAAAATATTTTTTGCTTTTTAATTATCTTATCAAAGATAAATAATTTTTTTGGATTTATTAAATTTAATTAAAAAATAATTTTTTTGATTTAATTAAGCGATTTCGTTTCATAATTTTATAATAAAGTAACATTAAAAAATTAGTTTTCATAATTTTGATGTTAAACTTGTGATATTGCAATATTTTACTATGTGTTATTAGAATGTTAAATTTTTGATATTGTGATGTGTTATTGGGAAGTCAAACTTTTAATATTGCAATAATTAATTGGAATGTCATAGTGACCAAACTTATGAGATGGTATTGAAATGAAAATTAAAATACTAGTAAATACAATTGATAATTAAAATTACTATATATAGTTACTAAAAAATGTTTAAAATACTTTAAGCAATTTTTAATAAGTATTTACAAATAGCGTAGTATTAGTAACAGCGTTTATTAAAATCTTAAGTAAAACATTTTTTTCAGTATAACTAAAGTAGTATAGGCTTATGTCCATGGATAAAATCATGAATTCAATGAAATGCCTTTTACAACGAGACAATTCAGATAAAACTAAATAAGGTGAACACAAACAAAGTAATATTTAAAAGTCATTGTTGAGGCACCGATTTTAACTAAGGCGCCCAGCCCTGAGAATCAGGGAAAAAAAGGTTGCAAAAAACTGCCAACCTAAACCTGTTTTAGGTTGGCATCAGGTCAACAAAAAAATTCAACAGGGTTTGACAAATCAGCAACATTCGAACATTTAGCAAAAAAGATTTTTAGAAAAACAAAAATAGAATTAGCTGACTTTTCTTTTAAATGTTGGCATTTGCTTAAAAATTTGAAAAACAAATGAAAGTTTTATCAACTTTATTTGAATATTTTTTAGTAAAACAATTCATTCTGAAAATTGCTTTAAGAGCAAAAAAATAATTTGTGCACCTTTTCCGCATACATAGAGCTTATAGATTTATAGAGAGCTTATAGCTTATAGAGATTTTTAATTATGTTGATTTTTTTTTCCTAAACGCATATTTTTGATAGCACAGTATTGTTTTGAGGGGTTTATCACCTTCCCTTAGCATAATAAACTTTAAAGTTTTTTCAATCTTGCTTATATATTTATAGTAAAAAAATAATGTTAACATAGCGATTTCTAATTGATAAAATAAAACTTTTATCATTTTAGAGATTTATTATACACAATTGTTCCATATTATACACAATTGTTCCATATTATACACAATTGTTTCATATTATACACAATTGTTCTACTGCCTGTGAACTCAAAATATGATAAAGACATTTACACATACAGATGTTTGTTCATAGCTATACAAATGGTCAAACTAAAAAGATCTTCGACCATTAAAAACTAGGACGCAGCTTCAGCTATAAAATGCTAATCTAAAAGTTAAGCCAAAACAGTTAGTTGCAAAAAAAAAAACATAAGTCAAGTTTGCTTTTTCATTTATCTTACATTTTTTGATTAATTTTAATTATGGTGCATACAATTGGAC